TCTCTCACTAATGGATGTAAGTGGTTGTTGTCAAGGAAATCGCCCTTAAGCCAATTGAAGATATAATGGAGATGTTGAAGATCCAGGTGTTACACTCATATAACCACCCTGGCAGACGTAAACACATACTCCATGTCTTCATGTGGATGGAGCCTGGAGGCTGTTGTCCCTCAAATGTGGTGGTTACTATGAAAATCAGCCAAAGTAATAATATTGCACCATCACTGACTAACAACACAGTCAAACACACAAGCATCTGCACCAGACTGGACTGTAAATACGAGCTCATTACATGTTTTTATGTACATATAATGATAGTCTTGTGCAGGGGAGTCAAATCTGGTCCACGTTTCCACCAAAAGCTGCTCACATTTTGATATATTTTATTTTTATCTACAAAATTAGCGTCTTATCTGTTTATCTAAACTGAAATTAATCTGTTTTCACTCATTAAATGGCACATTTGAAACAATTATGAGATGATTCATGTCATAATTATGACAAAAAGCTGACTTTTCATGTCTTAATTATGACTTTTTTTGTCATAGTAAGATAATAAGATCAGAATTATGTATTGTCATAACATAAATCAAGTTTTAATCCCACGTTTACTAGTTAGCATCTCATAATTTTAATATTTTATGTAATTCTTCTGATTTTCCAGAGCAAGTTTTTTTCCTTCTCAAACCTAAAGCATAAATAGTTGTGCGTATTAATGCTTTGCCAATGTTTTTGATATCAAACTGAACTGGTTGTCAATAGCAGGTGTAAACAGGACCTCTGTGTCTGCACATGCCCAGAAACACAGACTCTGCCAATTGGTGGACTAATCCAAAGGGGAGGGGGGCATTTTAGGCGTGACACCATAGTTTCCCACACTGGCTACGTGTGTAACTGTGTGTGTCAGATGACTGCCATATAGCCCTGAGCTTCCATCAATTAGCCAGTTTAAATTGTTATTGCCCTCTGTCATTCATTCAAAAGCTGCCATGGGAAAACTGGAAACCGTTCTGAAGAGAGACGGAAACCTGATGAAGCTTTCTTCCCCACTTATTTTTTTTGGGCTAATAAACAATCTCCCTAATGGAGGGAAGACTATGACACATGTTTTCTGTGAAGTGACTTTGCAGTGATCCATTACGAACGTCCGCTTGTGTGAATCTGAGACATGAATGAGGGCTAAAAAGCCGAAGTGAGACTGACACTCCCTCTCATTAATCTTTATTTAGAGTCTTATAGTAATCTGGTAGGTATAGATGTCCTCTGCACACACACTCAGACATACGCGCACTCACACTGTGGGGGAACCTGGCACGCTCTCGGTGGGATTACTTGTGGAGTTACAGTGTGTGTGAGGGCAAATTCTCATGGGAACTGCAGCGACTCTGGCCTGTTTTAACAAATACAGCGTGTTTACCACACAGGCTAATTAGAGAGGAAGCCTGGTGTCGAAATGACTGGGAATGCTGTATTGTGAAGGATATTTCAGGCCCACTTCATACACAAAGCTCAGATTTATGGAAGAGTTCAGCTAAAAATTAAAATTCTGTCATTATTTTCTCATGTGTTGTTATATATACAGTGCATCCGGAAAGTTTTCGCAGCGCTTCACTTTTTCCACATATTTTTATGCTACAGCCTTATTCCAAAATGGATTCAATTAATTTATTTGCTCAAAATTCTGCACACAATACCCCATAATGACAATGTGAAAAAAGAGTTTTTGAAATTATTGCAAATGTATTAAAAATAAAAACCTGAAAAATCACATGTACATAAGCATTCACAGCCTTTGCTCAATACTTTGTTGATGCACCCCAATTACAGCCTCAAGTCTTTTTGAATATGATGCCACAAGCTTGGCAGAGCTGTCTTTGGGAATTTTTGCCCATTCCTCTTTGCAGTACCTCTCAAGCTTTATTAGGTCGGATGGGAAGCGACGTTGTACAGCCTTTTTCAGATCTCTCCAGAGATGTTCAATAGGATTTAGGTCTGGGCGCTCGCTGGGCCACTCAAGGACATTCACCGAGTTGTTATGAAGCCACTCCATTGATATTTTGGCAGTGTGCTTTGGGTCGTTGTCCTGCTGGAAGATGAACCGTCGCCCTAGTCTGAGGTCAAGAGCACTCTGAAGCAGGTTTTCATTCAAGATGTCTCTGTACATAGTATTTTACAAATAATTTCAATGAAGAGTATTTGAAGTGAGTTTGGTCAGAAGATTTGCTGACAGACTGAAGTATAAGATGACGTTAAAAAAATCGTTGATCAATTTAGGCGAATCGTATATATGCACACGGACTTTTAATTTGAAGGAGGCCAGCCTCAGCGATTGTGTTGAACTGTCTATCCATTATAAAATTGCCTTGTTTTAAGTCAGATTTCTTTAAAAATCTGTGATCTTCACTGCCTGATAGATATACAACATAGAGTGAGTCTCAGACCGAACAAAAGACACTTCATTAAATTCCATTTCCCCCTAAAATGTCTTTAAAATATGAGTTTATTTTACTCCAGTATTTTCAATGACGTTTCTGCGCTCGCCTTCTGATCCTGACGGTGTTAGTGTAGCGGAGGCCAGCTAGTTTGTGCTGTGCAGGTAAACCTCGCTCCTCTGACCTCTAGAGATGCTCTAGCGACAGATGCTAGAGGCCACGTTCTTTAGCCTCCTTGTTAGAGCAACCGACTCCCATGCGGAAGGTTGCCGGTTCGATCCCAGCTCGGAGCGGGTTGGGCGGTGTAGGACCGGCGGGGCTACATTGGTGCCGTGACCCGGATGGGAGTGAGGTTTAGGGGGTGAGTGTAACGGAGGCCAGCTAGTACATGCTGTGCAGGTAAACCTCGCTCCTCTGACCTCTAGAGATGCTCTAGCGACAGATGCTAGAGGCTATGGTTTTTAGCCTCCTTGTTAGAGCAACCGACTCCCATGCGGAAGGTCTCCGGATCGATCCCAGCTCGGAGCGGGTTGGGCGGTGTAGGACCGGCGGGGTTACATTAGCAGTTACACTGTCTTTCATCTTGTTTACGCTTGAACAACTAAATGAATGCCTAAGTCTATTTAACTAAATGTATTGTAATTAAATTACAACATCGATGCTGTAGAAGGAAGCTTATAAATTTCAAAATGGTCACATTAAGCTTTCACCACAAGTTTATCATTGGCTGAAAAGCAACTAGCTGTGCATAGAGCCCATTCAGTGACAAGCTGCAAGCTTTGAATGTTCATATCAGGTTAAATCTTCTAAACGAGAATTTGGTCACTGTTCCCTACTGAAAAAGATAGCTTTAACTATAGTTGCTCAGGTTAGTCTTAGCTGGTCAAGCTGGTTTTAACTGGTCTTAGCTGGTCAGGCTAGGTTTAGAGGGGTTTTGGACACTTAAGCTGGTCTTAGTTGGTCTTAGCTGATTTTAGCAGGTCAGGCTGATTTTAGAGGGGTTTTGGCGACTTTTTAGCTGGTCTTAGCTGGTTTTAGCTGGTCAGGCTGGCTGCTCCTAGTCTTAGTTGGTCAGGCTTGTCTTAGAGTAACAGAGGCCAGCTAGTAAGCGATGTGCAGGTAAACCTGGTGAGGCTAGCATCCTTGGTAGAGCAACCGACTCCCATGCGGAAAGTTGCCAGTTCGATACCAGCTCGGAGGGGCTGGGTGGTGTAGGACCGGTGGGGTTACATTAGCTGGTCAGGCTGGCTGGTCTTAGGTGGTTTTAGCACGTCAGGCTGGCTGGTCATTGGTGGTTTTAGCTGGTCAGGCTGGCTGGTCTTAGCAGTTTTTTCAGCAGGGTTTTAGAGCACACTGACTTTTATATATCCTTAAACTAACATACTAATATTAACATCTAAAAACTGTATTTTAATTTCACCTGTAAAATGTTAATTACATTGAAAAAACATTTTATTAACTTTTAAAGAACATTTGTTTATAATTTTGCTCTTGCATCCCAGTTGATGATGAATGCTCTCTGAATTTAACATAAAGAGAACGTTAGAAAAACGTTATTAGAACGTATTTTGGGGTTAAATATTTCATTTGGATGTAATCATTTGTTTCATTTGCACTCTATAATAGTTTATCTCCTTCACTCTCTCTCTATCCGAAGTCTGAGGAATAATCTTGCTTTTAATGTTAGAGTATCAAGTCCTCCAAAAGCTCCACACCCTGTCGTTAGTGCCTTTAAACAGATAAGACCCAGATGTTTCACATTCCGGTCATTATAAAAGATAGTTGCAGACTATAATACAAACGTCTCAACACAGTAAAAACGAAATCCTGTCAGTATAATTTTTTTTATTGCGTAAGTGAGTAGCTCCCTCTACTGGTCTGTCATAGGCGTAACACTTTCCTCTTTACACTAAATCCCGCCTCCTTGATTGATATTTTGATGAACCAATAATATCACGCCGCTTGAAACGTTAACCAATGAAAACGTTTCCTGCTTTTTATTACATGTATATAATTTTAAATCTTTAATTTTTCTTCGGCTTAGTCCTTCATTTATCAGGGGTCGCCACAGCGTAATGAACCTCCTTTTTAAATATGATATTGTCAAATATTAACATATATACACTTGCAAAAATATAAATATTTGATTCAATTAGTCCTGAAGTAACTATTTACAAGGGATTTTAAAGGGATCGTTCGCCAAAAACTGATTTTGTTTTGGTCATTATTTACTTACCCTTCACTTCCAAAACTGTTAGACTTATTTTATTTTGTTGAACACAAAAGAAGATATTTCTAAAGAAACCTGGAAACGTGTAACAATCCACATTCATATTTGTTTTTCCTGCTATAAAAGTCATTTGTTTTTCAGCTTTCGTCAAAAAAATATGTTTAAAAGAATGAAGAAAGTTTGAAGGGCGATTAAATGGAGTACCTTTTTATTTTTGCGTGAGCTATCCCTTAAATAGAGTCAAATAATTATATTTTACATCCATAATCAAAACAAAATTTTAGTTCGTTTGTTGTATTAAAATATCCATATTCCATGAGAAATGTTGCTAGTATTATTTTTAGTCAGGACAATTGGCGGCAACCTATCTCCTTCGTCAGGACCCAAAATGGTGGCGGCGTGAGTGAAAACTAAAAGCTGAAGGTGAGTGAAATAATCACATGTAAAGTTATGCCAGATGCACCACACGCTTTATAACCAAACAGATACGTTATTTTTAACCTGGTCTATTTACTACTGCAATTGTCAAACTAATAAACGACGCCGTTTTACAATAATCCTCCATCTAAATTGGATAATGTTATGTCACATGTAGAAAAGACACTTCTGACATATCATGAAAAATATTACAATCTTCAGCATATCTTAAAAAGTTTGTGCTCACAACTACAACAGATGCTTTATTTTTTTTTAAGAAGGCTGAGATGGTATGGAGTGGGTAGCAATTTTTGCTTGTTGTTTTTTACCGAGCTTGAAAGTCGTATTTGCTTTGGAATCACAGTCTGGTTTGGAAATCTGGCGATTCAATTGAAAAATAAATTGGTTCATTTTCAAAAAACAGCCATGAAAATCATAGAAATTAAACAACACGAGCCCATACAGACTCTATATGAACAGGCGGTCATGAGAAGAACAATAAATATTAGTGCTGATTCCAAACTTCCTCTTTTCAGTGAATATCAGATGTTACCGTCAGGAAAAAGACCGAGAATGTGTAAAACCAATAGATTGAAGCTTGCGTTTGTTCTTACCTCGACAAAACTGTTGAACTCTGCCAAGAACAAAGCACCTGCAGTACATTAGCACCTGACTGTGTTCTGTGCATTATATATTTCACAGTTATATATGGTCTTATTTTATAAACGATGTATGTTCTTAATTGTTTTGTTTATTTTTTTTTATTGTCTCCTTTTTTATTTCCTCTCCGGGACAAATAAAGTTGATCCTATCCTTAAAAAAAACCTACAAAAATTACAAGTTTTACAGTGGTGTAACGTTAGCTAGTTATAATGAATATTCTCTGTGTGTGTGTGTGTGTGTGTGTGTGTGTGTGTGTGTATACTTGAAGTGAGAATTATTACCCCCCCCCTTAAATATTTCCCAAATAGTGTTTAATAGATTTTACATTTTTATTTTCACAGGATGTCTGATAATATTTTTTTCTTCCGGAGAAAGTCTTATATGTTTTATTTCAGCTAAAATAAGCGCAGTTTTTAATTTTTTAAACAATTTTAGGGTCAAAATTATTAGCCCCTTTAAGCAATTTTCTTTTTCCAATAGTCTACAGAACAAACCATCGTTATACAATAATTTGCCTAATTACCCTAACCTGCCTGCCTAGAGCCAAACTATTATGTGTAGAAATGTGTTGAAAAAAATCTCTCTGTTAAACAGAAATTGGGGAAAAATGAACAAGGGAGCTAATAATTTAGGGGGGCTAAATTATGACTTTAACTGTGTGTGTGTGTGTGTGTGTGTGTGTGTGTGTGTGTGTGTGTGTGTGTGTGTGTGTGTGTGTATGTGTGTGTGTGTGTGCGTGTGTGTGTGTGTGTGTGTGTGTGTGTGTGTATATATAACGCACACACATACAG